TACACTGATAAAAGCCTTTGGCAAAGTCTCAGGATACAAAATAAATGTACAAAAGACAATCGCATTTCTCAACACCAATAATAAACAAACAGACACCCAAATAAAAGACACAATTCCATTCACAATAGCCACAAAAAAAATGAAGTACCTTGGCATCTTCCTAACCAGAGACGTGAAAGACCTTTACAATGAAAATTACAAAACACTGCTCAAAGAAATCAAAGATGACACAAACAAGTGGAAAAATATCCCATGCTCATTGATTGGAAGAATCAACATTGTGAAGATGTCCATCTTACCTAAGGCAATCTACAAATTCAATGCAATACCCATCAAATTACCAGCAACATTCTTCATTCTTCTCAGACCTAGAAAAGACAACACAGGAATTCATATGGAAATACAAACATCCAAGAATAGCCAGAACAATCCTCAGCAAAAAAAAAACAAAGCAGGTAGTATCACATTACCAGACTTCACACTTTACTATAAAGCTACAATCATCAAAACAGCTTGGTATTGGTATAGGAACAGGCATATAGATCAATGGAATAGAACTGAGATTCCAGAAGCAAAACCTCAATTTCTCAACCAACTCATCTTTGACCAGGCCTCCACCACCTACCACGGGGGAAAGGAGAATCTATTCAGTAAATGGTGCTGGGAAAACTGGCTGACCACATGCAGAAGATTGAAACAGGACCCCTATCTATTCCCATGCACAAAGGTTAACTCCAAATGGATCAGAAACCTAAATGTAAAACCTCAAACCATAAGAACGTTAGAAAATGAAGGAAATATCCTCATGGAAATCGGAAATGGCATCCAATTCCTGAACAAAACCTGAAACCCACAGGTCATAAGAGAGAAGATAGACAATTGGCAACTTATTAAACTGACAAGCTTCTGCAAGGCCAAAGAAACCATCAAGAGAGCAGGGAGACAGCCTACAGACTGGGAAAAAGTATTTGCTAACACCAGGTCTGACAAAGGCTTAACATCCTTGATCTACAAGGAACTCAAATGTGCTGAAAAGAAAAAAGCAAACAACCCCATTATAAAATGGGCAAAAGATATGAACAGACACTTCACAAAAGAGGACATCCGAGCAGCCAACAAACACATGAAGAAATGTTCAACCTTACTAATCATCAGGGAGATGCAAATCAAAACCACACTGAGATACCACCTAACTCCAGTCAGAATGGCAATTATCAACAACTCAAAAAATAACAGCTGCTGAAGAGGGTGTGGCAAAAAGCAAACACTTCTACACTGTTGGTGGGAGTGTAAACTAGTGCAACCTCTGTGGAAAGCAGTGTGGCGATTCCTAAAAGCTCTAAAAATTGACCTTCCATATGACCCTGCAATTCCCCTACTGGGAACACAAATCACTCTATAAAAAAGATACCTGCACACGTATGTTTATTGCAGCATTGTTCACAATAGCAAGAACCTGGAAGCAACCATGCTGCCCATCAAAAGAGGACTGGATTTTAAAAATGTGGTACATATACATGATGGAATACTATGCAGCCATAAAAAAGAACAAAATCATGAATTTCGCAGCAACCTGGATGGAACTAGAGTCTATAATACTGAGTGACCTCTCACAGAAACAAAGATCTGAGTATCACATATTCTCACTCATATAATGGACCTTAAACATCCAATGTAATACTATAAGAAAATGACTGACGGTACTGGGAAACTATGGGGGAAGGGAGATCGGAATTAACAGTAGCAAATATCTGTCTGGGGATGGGGAAACACCTCTTATCAACAGGGTGCCTGAATGAAACGTAATTGTACACCTAACCCTTAACTGTACCCCACAAAACCATAATAAAAAATAATGATTATGAAAAAAAAAAAGAAATATGTACAAAGTCTCAGGGTCTTGTCACTTGACCTATTGATTTCATTTAGTCTCATTTACTCTCTAGTTCATTCATTCCTTCATGAATAGAGTGCCTGTCATATTATAAGCACTGTCTAGGCACTTGGGTTATGTCACCTAAAAAGATAGACAAAAATCTGTGTCCCTGTAGCCAGACTTGGTATAAAATATGCATAATGTTTCCCATCCTGCCACCTTGTGCAAACATTGTTTCCTAATTGGGGTGTTAATTGTCTTGGGGTGAGTAATGAACAACAGACAATAATCATGATAGCAATTTAAATATTAGGTAGGGAAACCCCTTTGGGTCTCCTCCCACTGTGGGAGCTTTTCTGTCCTCTCAATAAATGCTGCTTAAAAAATAATAAGCAAACAAACAAACAAATAAGTAAATATTAGGTAAACGTCATCCAGAAGAAAGAGAACAAGGTAAGGGAGAACAAAAATATTTAATAAGTAAGGCATTTAAAATTTTAAATAGAATGTTTACTGTAGATCTCACTGAAAAGGTGAATTTGATCTTGAAGGAGTTCCGGAGAGTCTTCTGGGTAAGAGCTTTTTAGGCACAGGATAAAGCAAAGGAAAAAACTCTAAGGAACCCAGTGTGGCTGGAGCATGTGAGAGAAAGGACAGTAGTAGAGGTTGCGGTCAGTAAGATAATGGGACCAAATCATGTGAGGCCATGCAAGTCATTATGATGACTTCAGCATTTACTCTTCATGGACCACAGAGCCCCTGCTAAGTTTTGAGCACAAATGTGACATAATCCAATTATGTTTTCCTAATTTTGTTTCAAATAACAATGATTTCATTGGCTGTTGGGTTTAAGGGGGTGAAGGTAGAAGCAAGAAATCCAAAAAAGGTGTACAACGGAGATGATGAAATGTGTTCATGGAAACTTTCAAGTTTGTCCTGGGTACTCAAGAAGACAATTTGCATTCTCTTTTTACAATGAGGTGAGGGCGTTGTGACTGAGTTTTGTCCAGAAGTGATGTCAATGCTTCCAGGCCTATACCTAAAACCTTATGTGTGATCTTTGAAACTTTGTCTTTTCTGTGGCAGTTGTGGAGATTCTGTGTTAAAGATGGATGTTCTGTAGGATGGAAGGTGCCAAGGTTCTCAGTGACAATGTGAAGCATGGCCACTTTCTCACATGCCAACCATACTGGACAGTGACTAGACTAGATTTGGAAACTACCCAAAAGAACAAAGGAGAGCATTAAAAAAATTTTTCTAGTCTCACTATGTTTCTCCAGCCTTGTTATTGTGATTGTTGAGATTTACTTACTGTTTTGATTTTCCAAAGTAAGAAGAGCAGTGTACATGTCAAATGAACCTCTTCTCGCCATCTTCCCAACAACTGCTTAAAATTGTTGGTATGCATCATCATACTCTTCAACATCACAGCATGCCTCAGGGATCTAAGATGCTTATGACAGCAAATCGCTAAGTTACTGCTATGCTGGATGTGGAAAACCAGACAACACTATAACAATAACAATCATTAAGATCAAAACAAATTTGCTTTTCTTACGAAAAAAAAATTAAAATTTTGGCAAGGCTTGCTTTGAACATCTCAGTATGTTTATTATTCATTGGAATTCTTTTTTAAGCAGATTGTAATTCACTACATCAATCCTTGAAAATTGTTTAAAATCCTTACACTTACCAAATTTTATATGTGTATATATATGCATATGTACATATATATACACATATATGTATATATATTCTTTTATTTTTCATCAATGTGGTGATGTTTTATCAAATATCTGTTTTCAGAAAATTCCTAAAGGCAGAGGCCTAATGATAGACAGAAGGTAAACTTTTCCCAAAAAACTAGCATAATTCTCCCCAGACAAACTCTTGGGCATAGGAAAGGGAAAAAGAGGATTAATATGCTTATCCTATGTGCCAGGACTACACTGGGAACGTTATTTAGACTACCTTACCAATGTGTTCAGCATTACTCTCAGCTGGCTGATGACTAAAATAGAGGGAGCCAGCACTAGTATTTACTCCCTCTAACAAATGGGTAAATAGACTCAAAGATGTGACATGACTGTCACCATACTGCACTGCTTGGAAAAGTATCTTCAGATATTTGGGACACTACTGCAGATGCCATTGCTTTCTTATCCCAGAGTAAATGTGAATAATGGTTTTAAAATATTCAGCACAATCCTCTGGCTTATTGCTAAGTACTCAAATTGTAACCACTGAGGTTATTCTAATGCCACTAAAAGGTCTTCTGATTCAGAGAGGAGAATCTCCAGAGCATTTTTTAACTCATTTACAGATCTGTAAAATGTCCCATTTACCTACACCACGACATTGGCTGAATACTCACAATAGGCAGGGACCATGAGTTCTTCTTGAAGGTCAGAACCAAACTAAGCCAGGAGTGTGCTTCAGGGGTTCAGGTGAGAAGGGAGGGCTAATTGCTGAAGGTGGGTGGGGAACCACTTATCTACCTCCTGTCCTTCCTGCTTTCTTTCTCATAAATGAGGGCCCTCTGAACAGAAGAAAGAAACATCCTTATCCTCACTACACATCCTCTGCACCTTTTCATCATGGGCAGTAAAGAACAGATGGTAGGACAAGGGAGTGAGAGTGGAAGGTTAGATGATGTAAGAAGTCAAGTATATATATATATTTAAGAGTGGGGGTTTAGAAAGTAGCAGGAAATCTAACTGACATTAGCCAGTTATGTATTCCAAGTAGTCTGATGAATTTCCTGTTATTAGCAATGTAAAAACAACAGCAAAAACTTGGTTTTTCATCTTCATCTCTGTAAGCTTCTTATGGTGCAACTTTCAGAAAGCCCTTGCCCCAGAGATTTTACATATCACCAGCTTTTGCAAAGAATGGAGTGGTTTTTATGGGATCTTGTAGGTAGATTGGTGGAAGGAGAAGGGAGATTGATGTTATAAACATATACTTTGTTTCATGTACTAATACATATCTTATATGATTTAATTAAATCTTTAAAAAAGATAGTTGGCTTAGCCCACTTTTTGATATTACAACAGAATACTAGAGAATTTATAAAGGAAATACATTTATTTCTCTCAGTTCTGGAGGCTGGCAATGCAAAAGCATGGTACCGGTATCTGGTGAGGGCTTTCTTGCTGTTATCCTATGGTGGGAAGCAAGACCATGTAGAAAGAGAAAACACAAAGGGCAGCACTTGCTTTATAAAACCTACTTTTGGGATAACTTCCCCAGGACTCTTCCCTAGTCCTGGGGAAATGACATTAATTTATTTATGAGGGTGAAACCCCCTTGATCTAATCACTTTTAAAGCTCTGACTTCTTAATACTATTATGAATCTTAAGTTTCAGCATGAGTTTTGGAGTAGATGAACATTCAAACCACAGTGGTAGCTATCGTCTTTTTAGAGAGAAGGAAAATATATTTAGACAAGTTACATAGCCAGAACATTTTGGAGCCGGGAATCTACTCAGGGTTTTCTACTTTAGTCTCTTAACCACCCTCATCTTTCTATGACATCTCAGATTTAAACTGAATGCTGTGGCGTAGGATTTTACCCTGTTGAGGGGACTGTTGCATGTTCACTGTGAGAAATCCTGAGAGGCCCCACAGAGAAGTTGATGTCTGGTCTCTGTCTTCAGGAGGAGAAAGCTCACATCTGGTAGTCTTTAGCATGCATCATTGAAATTCTTGCAGGGAGTCTGGATAAAGCTGGTGCTCTTCCCTGTGTCTGACCTTAGGCCAGCCAGAGGCCAGCAAGAGAGAAACACACCAAAATTCCTAGGGAGGCTCTGAATAGCCTTTCCTGGAATTGGTCCTCCTGCCCAGCCTCGTGTGGAAGGAATGAGGTTAGTGGTAGGGCCAGGGAACAGCCTATACAGATAACTAATTTGTGTCTCTATTACCTTTGGGCTTTTACTGATGCCCCCCTGCAGGAAGGAAGGTCTGTAAAGAGGCAGGCAGGACTCTGCTAAAATGGAGGAAAGAATTTTGCTATATCTTTTGTTAGGCCCAAGACTGCAATGGGAGTTGGCAATATACTTTGCTTAATAATAGTGTTTTTAATATATGTCATCATGTTATCCCATGAGGCAGATGTGGTCCTCTTTATCTTATAGAGGGAAAGAGACAAACCTGGGGTTCAGAGATGCTTGCCTATGAGTCTTGCAGATTTCAGACTAGAATTCAAGTCTCCTGATTCCTGTGCCAGTGCTCTTTCCAGTATGGGATCATAGGCATGGCATAAATGAGACCTAGAAACTCATTCTTTGATGCTTAAACAAAGGTTTGGGGCATGGGATTTGATCCATTAGAGAGTAAATTCTAGTCTAATATTGTAATATATGTGAAATTATTCCAATTTTATAAGCCTCCTTTCCCTTTGTTCTAAGATGTGGAGAAACAGTCTAATCTTCCTTATCTTAAATGCAGATCAAAAGCAGAGATTATGTGTGTTGATGCTTTGAAAGTCACAGAAATTCACACACATATAGTCAGGGTGGTTCAGTAATTAATCACATTTTCAGAAATCAGAAGTTAACAGTATTGACCATTGAGAATTTAGCCATAAACTCAGACATTTTAAGACTCCTGAAAATAGGAATATACTTTTCAAAAATTACAGCCCCCAAACAATGGTGCTTTGTTGCCTAGAACAAGCTGTGGTCTATGGATAATTACAAGGTCTTGCACAAAAGAAGCCCAATGAATATTTATAGATTGAATTTAATAAACAAAGGCACAAATCCTGACTGGATAGGTCTCATGAAATCTTACTAAGCATATTTTATTTAGCAAACTTGATTATTTGCTTTTTTTCTATGTCCCAGCAGATTAAATATAAGTGATTTGGAGAAGAAAGAGGAATTGTCAGAAACAGAGACAATGTCAACAGAAGACTTGAGACCTTGAAAATAGAGGAGGGGGGAAAAAAAAAAATAAGCAAAACAAACAGTAAACCTTATATCCTCCACAATATAGCATTGGGTTGTTGAACCACCACCAACAAAAAAAATCTAAATTGGTTAAAGATCCTCTGTTTAACTCATCAAAGATATGCACAAACTGTTCTAGAAAGGCTTTCACCTACAAAGATTACTTAAGAATGTGTTGAGCCGGGCTTGGTGGTCTCTGCGCCTTTGGGAGGCTGAGGTGAGTAGATTGCCTGAGCCTGTGGGTTCGAGACCCGCCTGGGCAGCGAGACCTCATCTCTACAATAAATCAAAAAATCAGCCGGGCGTGGTAGCGTGCGCCTGTAATTCCGGCTACTCAGAAGGCTGAGGCGGAAGGATCACCGGAGCCCAGAAAGTCGAGGCTGCGGTGGCTGGGAGCGGCCACTGCACTCCAGTCTGGGCGACAGAGTGAGACTTCAACTCAAAAAAAAAAAAAGAAAAAAAGATGTGTTGACACTTTAGAACAGAGTTAATTTATCAGGTAACATTTATTAGAAAGACCTCTTTCCATGAGAACGAATGAAGAGTTTCCTCTGAACATTAACCTGGGCTTCCCTATAGGGTATGTGTACATCTTGAAGCTATGGAACACCTTCCCCTGGAAGAGCTGTGTATCAGAGGCCCACCTATGTATACTGTGTCTCTGGTATACTTTCTAACTGTGGTTCTTTTCTATTCTATATTGTTCGATTAATTTGCAGTCAGAGGCAGTGTAAAAATATTGCTTTTCACCTTAATCTCTGTAAGGTTTGTTATTGTGCAGCTGTCAGCACTTGCCCTAAATATTTCCCTTATCATCAGTTCTTACAGCAAATGGGGTAGGTCTGCCACTGTCTACTCTGGTTTTAAGATCTAATCTTACATTTTTGTTGTTGTTGTTGTTATAGCAGGTTCAGAAGCAATAGCCTTATATTCTTTTTTCCTTTTGTGGCAAACAAAATACAAAAACATACAACAAATTAGCAAACAAAAAATGAAAATAATGAAGCAGACACTGACGTATATAAAGATGTTTGTGTGTATAGTTAGATATATAGATTAGATATATAGATATATGTAGGTATAGATTTATATTAGCGTTTGTTAGCAATGAATGTTGAGCAAATTGTCTGCAAAATACAAGACAGAGCCGGGCTTGGTGGCTCAGCCTGTAATCCCGCGCCTCTGGGAGGCTGAGGTGAGTGGATTGCCTGAGCCCGTGGGTTCGAGACCCACCTGGGCAGCGAGACCTCATCTCTACAATCAATCAAAAAATCAGCCGGGTGTGGTAGTGCATGCCTGTAATTCTGGCTCCTTGGAAGGCTGAGGCGGAAGGATCGCCGGAGCCCAGCAAGTCGAGGCTGCGGTGACCGGGAGCGGCCACTGCACTCCAGTCTGGGCGACAGAGTGAGACTCCAACTCAAAAAAAAAAAAAAATACAAGATAGAAAAAGGCCCTGTTTCCATGCTGAGTCCATTCTGCTTCCTAAGTTGCTGACAATTAACTTTGTATTAATGAATCACCGTCCATCTGCAAAACCCTGAGGTTGACTGGACATAAACTGAATATGCAGCTCTAGTCTTCCTTATGAATGAATGAATAGATAAAAGACACTCAAATGAATCACTGGGGTGGGGCATAGTAGATTTACTGTACTAAGCCATGAAAATTTCTTAGAGAGTTAATCACAAGAAGTAATGTTTAATCATGTCAACAGTGAACATAATAACAAATTAATAATGTCAATGGTGTAAATAATGATGGCAATAGAGATAAGAATTACCTTGTGTTTGACGTCTAGTGTTTGTCTGAAAGAACTCAATACTTTATCTATACTCTCACAATAAATCTTTATAAGAGCACATTGAGTCAGAAATCCTTAGCTGCGTATTATTTATCAGGAAACTGAGGATCAAGGGGGTTAACTCAAAACCCCAATTTACATAGCCAGTAAGTGACAGAACTGGGATTTCACCCTAGTCTACCTATCTTCAAAATCCATTCCCCTCTCTTCTTCTCCTCTTCCTTCCCTTCTTCTCTTCCTCCTCTCCTCTATTTTTCTCCTTCTCCTTGTTTTTCCACAATTTAAGGCGAGCTAACTTCATAGATATCTTTTTTAATGCATTATTCCTGATATCCTTTCCAGAGTAAACTGATTCAAAATATCAATGTAAGTTTTGAACACCTGCTTTTTACAAGGTGCTATTGTTGCAAATCACATGTTCTGCTACTCATCACTTGTAGGCCGAAATAAACAAACATGCGATGCAGTACAAGAAAAGTGACTTTATTTCAAAAGCTGGCAGATGGGGAAATAGTCATGCTCATGTCTCAAAGAAACATTTCAAAATTTTAACGCTAAGAACAGAGGATTATAAGGAGAAAGAAAAGAATGAGGAATATCTGGGAGCAGTACAGGGAACTGATCTTGCTTCGATGGTTATCTCGAATTGTCGTTCACCTGGAGGGCTGGCTGATATAGTTCCAATTGTGAGCAATGGAGAATTCTGCCATGGGGTTTCCAGACTTTGATATTACAAACCAATCTCTGGAATCTCTTAAGCAAGTACACAATAGTGTTAGAAAGCAAAAATAAATCCTTAAAGCGTAGACTAAAAGAGAAAAAGATTCAAAACCATTTCTCAAAAGCTGAAATGGAAAGTCTTGGTTAAAGTCTTGGCATAAGAACTTGCAGTTTACAAAACAATGGAGGAATAGAGCATATATTTACTAAGTGCTTATGAGGAATCAGGTTCTATATATTTTATTACACCACCTCTTTTAATTTTCTTAGTCACAGTATGTTTTTTATCCACATTTGACAATTAAAGGGACTAAGGCCAAGAAAGTTTAAGGAAAACACATTTCTAGAATCATGTATCTCGTAGAAACTCTGACTTATCTAAATATTATCAAATTCAGGCAAATTCAGGCAAAGTCTCATGGAGAGCCCCTGTGCTCAGGTATGCACAAGGTCTCAAATGGAGTGTTTTCAGACAATCTTCTACAGTGTGTAGGAGTTATTAATTCTGGAGGGTCATTTGATGATAGTTATCAAATATTTAAAGGAGTGTATTCGCTGACCAGTACATTCCTATAATTAATAGGACAGATACAAAAATGTATACATTGATCCTCTTGTGGGTAGATCTAAAAGTAATAGTAACAATAGGTAGTATAAATTAAAAAATGTAAAACTTATAAATGATATAGACAATTAGGCAACTAGTGGCATTACTATACAATGAAATAAATTATAGCTGTTAAAATGATGACTTACATTCATATTGATTCACATTAAAAGATAGTTAATATACTAGTATAGTTCAAGTAAAAAGTATTTCAAAACTATTATACTGAATAAATCCTTATATCTAGACTGGACACACACATACATATACCATGGGGGAAAATGTGTTATAAACCTGCAACTTTATTTGTGATTGGCTTTTGACTGTGGGATAAAATATAATTTTTTCTTCAAATTTTTTGAATTTCATTTTGCAATATATAAATTAATATGTAATAATTGCTTACCATGTGAGTTTTTGTTATCACAATAATCTCCATCTTAATATTATGCAATCTGAAGCTCAGAGAGGCTGATCATTTGTCCAATGGAGTAGCAGAGCTGATAGCTAAGTAGATTTTCTCCTTCTACAAATTTATGTTCCTGCCTACTATTTTATACCACAATAACTATATAACATTTTGACATTAAAAAAATGTAACTGAACAATAATAATAAAATGAATTTAAAAATTTTGCTTTCTACAGAACACACAATTATCTGTGCATTCTACAAAACATATTAATTTGGATTTCAACTATTTTATTGTTTAAAAGCCCAACCATTCTTTATTTTTAGATACTTTCATTTCTTTATTTTTGATAATATGCCTTTTTAAAAATACTTAAAATAGATATTATCCAATGTTTCCTAAAGTCCTCAGAAAGATTGTTTCACAGAATAATTTAGTATCCCAGATGTCATGGGCCCTTTTAAGAGGTAGAGTATGTGGTTTTAGTAGTGGTATGTTTGTTTATTTTTGTAAAGGAATTTCTAAATTGCCAAGTGTCAAAACTCAAGAAGCTTAATTG